TTAAAACACAAAGCCAGTTGTGTATGAATCTTAAAACTTAGCAGAGCTCCAGTACAGTGGCAAACCCTTGAATGACATTTTTCTACAATTAAGTGTTTTAGAGAGATGCCTTGGGAGGTTAGAGCTTCCTACAATTTGAAATTAGTTACTGAAGTATGAGGTCTGCAGAAGCATGGACAACAACTCCTACTAATGCGCCAAGGCATGTTGCTAATGGGTGGTTAGAACCTCAAAAGGTTTAAATACGTAATCAACCTCCCAAAGAAAAAACTCAGGCTACTTGTCGCTTTCAACATGGGCCGTTCTAAGCTCAAGAAGCACTTATATATTATATATATATATAGCATGGGCCTAGCTTCTTGTCCAGAATACATGCTAATTGACTGCTCAGCAGTCTTTAGGCGCCGGATAAAGGATCACATTGCCTCAATAGCACTGACCAGTAAATTGGATTTTATCATTTTGCTGGGGCTAAGTGAGTCGTTGTGACTTAGCAGAGGACACAATAGACCTTAGGTCGCGTTATAATCCTCATTTACTTATTACATTAAATTTGTTAAAGGCTCAAAGCGCTTTGCCGATATTTGAGAGTTTTTGCAATTAATACTTAGAAATTTATGCAGCGATGTCTGAATTTGGTTCCCCGCAAAACTAATACGGCTGTGTGAACTGACGTTGAGGTTTCAGACAACGCGGCTCCCTTACGTGCGACTTCTTCAATCTGCTCTTGGAGAAAATAATTCGGGCTGCAGAACTTAATCGAACAGGTACAATCTTCTATACGAGAGTAAAACTGCTGGCGTACGCCGATGACATCGATAGTCTTGGCCTCAACAACCGCGCCATTACTTCTGCTTTCAGCAGACTGAATAAGGAAACGAAGCCAATGGATCTGGAAGTGAACGAGGGCAAGACGAAATATCTTCTATCATCATTCTCGAAATCCAACACAGAATAACTCTTGCCAAGTTTTCGAGGGGAATGTTCCGCGAAAGATTTATGGGCTTTTGCTCATTGGCCATGGCGAATACTGCTTTCGATGGAACGATGATCTGTATGAGATATACGACGAAATAGACATAGTTCAGCGAATTAAAATACAGCGCCTACGCTGGCTAGGTCATGTCGTCCGAATGGAGAAAAACACTGCAGCTCTGAGAGTTTCCGACGCATTACCCGCCGGAGGAAGCATTACCACTCCGTCGGAACAACCAGATGGAGAAGACCTGGTATCATAATGGACCGGCTTTCCCGGCCGATGGGATCGGGGATGTTGGATCGGCCTAGGTCTAAACTAATCCAACCAGCGTGAATTGTCGACAAAAGTAGCTCGCGTACGAAGCATTATCAGCGAAACAGATAATTGTTTTTTGACAGGGAAATCATACATGCTGAACTACAACTTGACGGAGCCGATTCGGGGACAACTAAATCCCCGAAATCTTATCGGGGAAATGCCATATACGGCTATTGCGCTGAATGTACAAAGGCTGATGAGGTGGATACAAACATATTATACAAATTGGTAGAGTTTGTGGGTTCTATAAGTGCGATACAAGGGAAATATTCCAACGATATAACATACGATCGAGTGCTAAAACTACCGATCTATTACAATTCGAGTTCGGTCCATGTAAATGAAAGGATCTGAAAATATATTTAAAGTTATTTATACTCATATTGCAAAACTAGGTTAAAATAGGTGATAAAAAATGAGCCTATAATATGTACCGTAACTAAGTGCTTCTCTACTTTTCATGGCAGTATACTTTTATTGCTTGCTGTCGTCAACGCCTGCTTGCATCTATATATTATATATGTAGTTGAAAGAAGCCGCCTTCGGTGGCGCGTCTCAATGAAGTTATGTTGAGTGTACGTCCACATCCACATGTACAAACAGTTCGTGTTTACACAAGTGCATGCGCGTCAAAGCTAGAAGTCGCCTCGCCGTCGCAACGCTGCCGCAGGTCCGACTTCGCGCGCTATCGCTTTGGGACAATACGAACTTGCTTTCAAACGATACAAAACAAATGTGAACTTTCGTAATAGACAACAACACTAAAACAATACATATAACAGTCGCCAATTCTAAAACAAACTTCATCACAACTACAGTTACAAGTTCAGACTGACACACATATATTTACATGCATTTATCGGCATAGTGAGCATACTGTGTTAAGTGAGAGGACAACCAAGGTGACGGCGGCAGCTGGAAATATTCGATACATACCTACAAGAACGAGGACTGGTGGACGAGCCACTGCCGTAATCAGTAGCTTAAATGGCGAAAAATGTAGGATGAACAAGTAGCACACACATACATACACACAATTACGATTTGGTACATTCATACGATAAGTTACCAACAACAAAAGACAATATTGTCGTCATGCTGCTGGAAATTTGAAGCACACACAATTGAGGCCTTGAAATAGCATCTTCATGTTTAGTATTTTTATTCTACACACTTTTCGCACTCTCGCTTCAAGTGGCACAATCACTCCATATATGACGCCTTGGACCGACAAAGTGTTCCTTATATGTAAGCGCGGCGAACGAGTTGGCGAGGCATGCAGCTCTCGAATCCCATTTCTCCCTGGCTATTTTACAACAACAACAAGCCAATAAAGAAGCTCTACTGCCTACCAAGTTAGCGCTGTTTAATAGAACAAATAAAGAAGTGGCTTCACACACACGCTTGCCGCAGAGGCGCATACCCACGACAGCGAATGTGTGCAACCGACGCAAATGTCCAGAAGTTCCAAGCTTGTTAATTTGACTTTCCCATTCTTAACTCAATACCCATCTTTGCCATTTTTCACCTTTGTAGGCGTTCGATAAATACAATTTGCCAACGCTTATGAGCGTCAAGGAGTTGACAAATACTGGCGATAAAGCGTTCGTCCGACGCAAAGAAATATTTAGATAGAAAAAACTAATTGTTCGATTTAATTCCAACTTGCTGTTGTTCATTTATCTTATGAATGCAAATTACATAAAAATTGCTGTTTATTAGAAGACTACGCATTTGTGCTGGCCGAGGTACCAGGCTCAATTATTTCTTCCTTAATGGGTTCGGCTGGTATTAGAGACGGTGGAATGTTCAGAGTCTGCAAAAAGTTTTTTTTTTTTTTTAATCTTTCCTATCATGCAAAAATAGCTGTATTGATAGCTCACCTTTCCCGGGCATGCTGCTTCATACTGATGCTTCAAGCTTTCCATTTCATAAACACATGTAGACAAGGCTGTCCTTAATTCGCACAGCAGAACCATGTCGGAGCGCAGTTCATTGAATGCGTTACATATTTCCTCGGTTGGCGGCGGCGAGGGATCTACAAACAAAAATTCGTTTAATTTCAACGAGTATAAATAAATGTAGCACAAAAATCACTCACCGACTTTAAATTCTTGTATGGCTTGCTCCAATGCTTTCACCTTACGCTGACCGATGTTTGCAGGCAGTTTCATTTTCTGTGAGCGCAAAGATACACCAGATCCACGGAGGTCCGCGAACTTTATGCCACTGCCTCCTATTTCTATAGCATTTACGACCGAATCAACCTTCGAGGGACGCGGCTGATGATGCAGTTTTTTCTTAACAAGTTTCTTTTCATATTTACGTGCGCTCTGCACATTGGTAGCGGCATCACTTTGCTGGTGTGGGTAAGGATTTTTCAAAATTAATTACTAGGAATACACAAATATTCGTACCTGATCCGCCTGTGAGATGAGTTTTTGTAGATCTTGTGTTTTGCGTTCGCGCTCCTTCTTGCGTGCCTCGATCTTTTTAAGCTCATTCAAAAGCATTTGCTCTTCTTCTACTTGTTGGGTAGTTCGCTCAAATAATTTTTTCAATTGATCCTTGCGCTTCCTTTCGTGTTCTGCATCAAAAGCGTATGATTTTTTGTCACTATTTTGTCCCTTGGTTTTGGCAAGCAGACCTACCACTTCATAGTAGCGCTCTTTCAGATCTTCCACAGATTTAACGCCATGCTGTGCACGATCCCATCGATCAGCCATTACGATAAATCGCAGATCGAAACTAAAATTTGTTTTAAAGAAATATATATATATTTTTTTAATTTGAAATATACTTTATTTCAACACTCACCGTTTAGCCAAATCGAAAAGATGATCAGTTTGTGCTTTGTTCCACTTTTGTACGTTCGTGCGCAAGTGTGTGTTATACTCTGTCATGGTGTAGGTGGGTATTTGAAGCTGTTTATTGAATTTGGCAAATGGATAATCCTTTTGATCGTCTGTAGTGCGACGCCAATGATGGAATACAGCGCCGTCTGTGCGTGCTGGATTATTGAAAGGAGCCCATTCCCACTTCCGCACTTTTTTCATTCCCAAACGAGCTTTCGCTTGTTTGTAACCCGCTCCAATACCAAGCGCTACAAAATTATTTCATGCTGAATTGTTTTTAGGTAAAAATATACAAATAATATACCAGTGTCTGTTGGTAAAAGCGGTGGAGCATCTTTGTTGTCATTGTAGAGCAGAGCGAATACTTCGCGGTGCATACCCTCTGGTCGTTTGGAAACTCCTTTAGCTCTGCAGTTGTTTGAATTGAAAATATAGTATTAATTCAATTATTTCGCTTTCAGCGATTATAAACTTACTTTTCAAAGTTCCGCCGTTTCTGCACCAGAAATGATTCACGAGTCACTTCAGGCGTATTCGCCCGCTCGATGTCTAAAATATCACGTACATCTGCCATTCTGCAATTGTTCTAACAACTGCATCCGATAGAATAAAGAATATTCCACAAATAAATTACAATTTTCGCACTATGCGCTAAATATTCTAAATTTGTTGATATGAAATGCTCAGAGGAGAAAAATGTTTATTTGGTAGAATGACAGATGCATTCAACTGTCAATTAAGGCGATGCCAGACGTTACGTTTTACTGCGCAGCCAAAATTCAGGTTCCAATTGAGAAGAAGCGACACTGGCACTACACGTGCTTGAGAAGCCGCATGTTTTCGTTGATTTGGCTGTGAGCGGTGTGAATTAAAGTGCGTGGTTTAAATTATTGTTATTTCACTAAAATAATTCCAATTTTTTTTACAAATTGTGCATAAAAGTGTGCAAAAGTGCCTTAGAAAGTAAAATCAACAAACATTAGTGTGAATACATTGAAGTACAAAGATTTTTCAATGGATTTATCTGTAAACAAAATTCGGCGCTCCATAGCACAGTTGCGCGAATATTTGCCGTCGACGCAGCAATCAGCTGATGACGACAGAGCGCTGCTCAGGTTTTTAAATACAAAAGTAAACAATAACAAATCGTTTGTTTACATACATATGCATTAATATGCTACTTGTTTGCTTCCCTACTAGGATCCCGGTGAAAAAGATGTGGAGGCACTATTCAATTATTTAAGTGACCATATATTGGAACCACGTTGGACTGCAGCTATTGCTACTTCGTTTGAAAACGTTCTATTGTTGTTAATCACACGCAGCATACCATACGATGAACACATCGACGAAAGCAACTACGAGACATATCAGAAAAAATGTATTGCGCTGGCCACCATGATTCGCCTATCCGTTGACACAAATCGGTAAATATTGTTATACATAAAATTGTTTTGCGTGTTGCACTCACTCTGCCTTTTCAATAGCTATGCCATCAGTTACTTCCGAAACAAACCCGCACCCTTCCAATGCCCACAACTGACCGATGGAACTTCGTCCACAAAACGCTCCAAGAATAGTACTAAATTAACTTCAGTTGACATCGTGAAATGTTGCTATCATTTGTTGTGTGCGAATCCAGTATTTTTCAAAGATCTATGGAATTGGTCTGTTTTTCTTGAACAGTTCGTTGACTCAAAGCAAAGTGATTTGTACCAAGTGTATTGCAACCAAATTATTGCAGTACTGACAAATATGAGTGCCTCACAGCTACAAACTATGAATGCGCAACTCTCTCCGGCTGCGATTTTGCAATTTGACGAAGAACAAAATTTAAGGCCCACTACGAAATCCAGTAGTTTTTTTTTAGACTCCAAACCGGATAAGACAATTACACTGAAAATAAATTCGCATTTAGTCGCAGGCATGGAGGGTGTGCTTTTGCCCATTTTCAATAAAGACAACTATGAGTTTTATTCAACTAATGACGGTCTGCACGATACCATCGTGAAAGTTGATTCGACTAAAGTTAATTTACGAAGCATTGCGTTGGGCATTGCTTCGGCAAAAGCTATATGTCTCTCTGGTCCAGTAGGCTGTGGAAAGACTACACTTGTCGAATATTTGGCGCGCAAAACGGGACGCACTTGCCCGAAACCTAGTGAAATCGAGCAGAGAAAACTTAGAGATTCTGAAAATCAACATATAAATAACGGCGGTATTACAAACGGAAGCGATAAAGTGCCTGTCGGAAATAAAAGGAAACATGATACTGACGTTTTGAATGACTTTGAGCAAAGTCTTGACGCCAACGGTATTAACTCGAACGGTTTCCTACGCATACAACTAGGCGATCAAACCGATAGCAAAATGCTTTTAGGTCAATATCGCTGCACTGACGTTCCCGGTGAGTTCGTTTGGCTGCCCGGTGTTCTAACACAGGTAACGTAAACCCCTAAAAAATAATTTCGAAATATTTAAAAATGTTTTGTTCAATTTTAGGCCGTTATGAATGGGTATTGGCTGCTTTTGGAAGACTTAGACTCGGCAACACAAGACACTTACACGATTTTGAGTAGTCTACTGGAAAATAATTACTTGAGCGTGCCTGGTTTCCGTGATTGCGTCAAAGTCGAACCCGGCTTCCAGTTATTTGTAACCGTACGGTATGTAACGCGCTTTGAATTTCCGAGCGAAATATTTTATTAATTCAAATTTAATTAGTACGAACAAATCTTCGACAACCGCCGGACAGAAGTCACTCTTTGCACTCTTGGAAAAATATCTATACACAATAAATATTCTGCCACTTTCACGTAATGAACTCTGCAAAGTGGTTAGCACGAATTATCCCAAACTAGCGACAGTAGCTAATCGCATAGTCGATGTGTTTCTTACGTTCTCCAGTGGTAATCACGCAGCAGCCGATAATTTGCGCCAACAAGAATCTGGTGACAAAGCCGACACCACCGAAAAGTATATTGCTTTGCCATTTGAGCAAGTATCACTCTCAGATATTCCAAACTCCGGCCGTTCGGTGTCCACTCGCGATCTCATCAAGCTATGCCAGCGTTCGAACCCTGTATTTTCTGTGACTAGCATGGAATGTGCTTACTTCGTCTTCCAAAATGCTGTCGATGTTTTCTGCTCTTATCTGCCGCAGGGCCAAGAAAAGACGAAACTTATCGTCAGCATCGGCGCCAAATTGGGTATTATTCAGTCGCGTTGTGAATATTTTGCAAACGATTACAAACCTGAGGTGTTCGTGAATAGCAATAGAATAAAGGTTGGTCGCACTGAGCTACATGCGAGACCACTGGCAGAATCATTTGGAGGCGATATGGACGAATTCGAAGAAGAAACGAACGGTGAGGGACCACTGGCAATTAAGCGACAAAAGTTGAACGACGACGACGACGACGAAAATCCACTCACTACTATAAAGCGCACGCTACAAGCGTCAAAGAATGCCACATTCTCTTTTACCAGAATGGCATCGTGTATTTTGGAGCGCATCGCCGTTTGCGTTTCGCATGCCGAACCTGTACTGCTCGTCGGCGAAACCGGTGTGGGTAAGACATCCTCCGTGCAGTATTTGGCCCAGCGTACGTACCACAAACTGGTTGTGGTCAATATGAATAATCAATCGGACGTATCCGATCTCATTGGCGGCTTCAAACCGGTCGATCTAACATATGTCATGACGCCTCTACGCTGTGAGTTCGAGACACTCTTTCGTACCACTTTCAATGTTGACAAAAATCAAATATTCCTACACAAAATGGAGATCTGCTATAACCAGGGCAATCACTTGGTTATAGTTAAACTAATGTTAACAATTATCAATTCAGTATTCGGCAAGGCTGAACGCAATGAGCTGCGACCAAAGGATATCGAGAGTCTGCCGCGTTGGCAGAGACTAAAAGTGAACGTGCTCAAATTGCATACGCAACTGAGTAAGTCAATAAACATTTCGTTTGCTTTCATACCGGGTTCGCTGGTGAATTGCATTAAAAACGGCGATTGGATATTGTTGGACGAAATAAATTTGGCCTCAGCAGAGATGCTTGAGTGTCTGTCGACCATTTTGGAGCCCGATGGTTCGGTGGTGCTGCTGGAGCGTGGTGACTTTACGCCGGTAAAGCGACATCCCGATTTTCGCATATTCGCTTGCATGAATCCCAACACCGATGTCGGCAAGAAGGATCTACCAGTGGGCATACGCAATCGTTTCACAGAATTTTTCGTCGATGAACTGACTACAGATGTCGATCTAACTTTACTCATAAGCGACTATTTGAAAACCACTGGCATACAACGTAAGAGTGTGGCAAGCTTGGTGCAATTATACAAGAAACTGAAGTTGTTGTCGAAGCTCGAGTTGAATGATGGTCTTGGCAACCGGCCAGTGTTTTCCTTGCGTACTCTGTGTCGCTCGCTGCGCATCTGTGCGAAAAACTTGTGCGGCTCTGTGGAACGTAATCTCTACGAGAGCTTTTGCATGAGCTTCCTTACACAGTTAGACCCAGTCTCACACAATGTGGTCTTGCACCTGATACAACAAGCGCTCTTGAGCAACGTCAAAGCTGTATTAAATCAAAGCATACCGAAACCGGGTGAAAATTATCTGAATTTTGAAGGCTACTGGATACAGCAAGGTCCCAAAGAGCCGGAGGAGTACAACAGTTACATTTTGACAAAAAGCGTTAAGGAGAACTTGCGTGATTTGGCGCGTATCATATCGATTGGTAAACTCCCGGTGCTGTTGCAGGGTCCTACGAGTGCGGGTAAAACCAGTTTGATCGATTACGTGGCAAGGCGAAGCGGTAACCACTGCCTGCGTATCAACAATCATGAGCACACAGATCTGCAGGAATATATTGGCACATATGTCGCTGACGCTACAGGTAAATTGAGCTTCAAGGAGGGTGTGCTGGTGCAGGCCATGCGTAATGGGTATTGGATCATATTGGACGAGCTGAACTTGGCTTCCACCGATATTTTGGAAGCTTTGAATCGTGTGCTGGACGACAATCGAGAACTCTTCATACCCGAAACGCAGACATTGGTCAAGGCGCATCCAAACTTCATGCTGTTCGCCACACAGAACCCGCCCGGCTTGTATGGTGGTCGTAAAACTTTGTCACGCGCTTTCAAAAATCGTTTTATCGAACTACACTTCTCGGATATACCACGCGAAGAGCTGGAGATTATTTTGGAGAAACGCTGCTTAATACCACCATCGTATGCCAAAAAGATGGTAATGTGCATGTCCGACCTGCAGAAGAATCGCAAGACCACGACTAAAAATGTATTCACTCTGCGTGATCTCTTCCGCTGGGGCAACCGTTATACATTTGCTGACAAGCAGCTACTGCAGGATACACAGTATGACTGGAACCAGCACCTCGTTGAGGAGGGTTACTTAGTGCTGTCCGCCAAAGTGCGTACTGACATCGAAATCGAAATTATCGAGGAGACTTTGTACAAAAACTTCCGCAAGCGCGTCGATCTTTCTCGTCTCTTCGACGCACAATCCAGTGCGGAGACATGCTCGGCAGTGACGCGCAATATTATTGACTCAATAAGAGCGTATAAGCTGCGTGCTGATATTGTTTGGACACGCAATATGACTCGTATGGCTGTACTGACGGCCAAAGCGCTGCAGTTCAACGAACCCGTGCTGCTTGTCGGCCCCACCGGCTGTGGAAAAACCACCGTGTGTCAGCTGCTGGCCAGCATATGTGGCGTACAATTGCGCATACTCAATTGTCACATGCACACCGAGGGTGCTGATTTCTTGGGCGGCTTGAGACCATGTCGCGAATCGAATGACGATAGTAACACTGCTAAGAAGCTCTTTGAGTGGGCTGATGGACCCCTGATTCTGTCTATGCAAGAGGGCTCTTACTTCATGGCTGATGAGATCTCTTTGGCTGAGGACTCAGTGCTGGAACGTTTGAATTGCATACTGGAACCTGAACGCACAGTGCTACTAGCCGAGAAGGGCGGAGTTGGAGAGTCGGATAATCCAGCGGAAATAGTCAAAGATTTTGTTGTACAGGCGAAAGCGGGTTTCCAGTTTCTGGCCACCATGAATCCCGGTGGTGATTTCGGCAAAAAGGAGCTTTCGCCTGCGTTGCGCAATCGTTTCACCGAAATCTGGTGCTTGCCTTCTGACACCAAAGAGGATCTGATACAAATTGCCAGCAACTGCATGCTGGAGAGCGCACAAATGGCATCGAACACAAGCAAAGAAGAGATTACGAAAATTGCCAGCTACCTTGTGGAAGTAGTGTTGTACATGCGTGACGTTATTGAGAAATTTAGATACTCTATACGTGACATATTGGCCTGGGCAAACTATATTGCCAGCAATGCACATTTAACATTTGCGGAGAAAGCCATTTTTGGTTTAGAAACAATTTTCCTAGATGCATTGGAACTCTTGCCGCACGAGTCCTTGGCGAAGGTTGAGTTACTCCGGAGACAGATTGTGGAATTTGCCATTAAAGAGGCTGCGCTCATTTTAAACGAAAGATTCACCTTCGACGATTTGACAGAAAAACGCGGCACGGAAGTAGTGCACTCCTTCGAAAAATTCGGTATCAAGCCTTTCTTTATATCCACCAACAGCGACTCCAATATCGGCGCAAGCAAGAACTTTTTATTCGAAGCGCCCACTACCAAGCAAAACCTATTTCGTTTGCTCTCGGCGCTTTCCTTGCGAAAACCGATTCTGCTGGAGGGGCCCCCAGGCGTTGGCAAGACTTCCACTGTGGAGAGCATAGCTGCCGCGATTGGCTATCGCATTGTGCGTATAAATCTCTGCGAGCACACAGATTTGGCTGACCTATTTGGCACGGATCTGCCAGCCGAAGACAATATCCTGGACGCAGCTGTAATAGAAGGCAGTGCAGAAGACAAAGCTGGGTTTGCAGGTGCGTTCGTATGGCGCGACGGTCCATTATTGGCCGCTTTGAAGGCCGATAACACCTGGATTTTGCTGGATGAACTGAACTTGGCGCCACAATCGGTGCTGGAGGGTCTCAATGCAATACTCGATCATCGTGGTGAGGTTTACATACCCGAATTGAATAAAACATTTACACTGAATAAACAGACGCGCGTTTTCGCCTGCCAGAATCCACTCAAACAAGGCGGTGGCCGCAAAGGTTTGCCACAATCTTTTCTAAATCGTTTCAACAAAGTCTACCTACGCAAACTCACAACGCAAGATCTGCTCTTCGTTGTAAATGGTAAATACGAAGCATATTTCGAGAAACTTCGTGCGCGCTTCGTCAAACTGCTCACCAACTGTGACGTCGGCGGCGAAGCCAATCTATTTGACTTATACCAAACAATATCGAAGGGTGTGCCTTTTGATGAGTCTTCTAATGGAGTAGGCGACACCGCACCCGGCATCGCATTAGATGTGACCAATAGACTTGTAAAGTTCTCCGAAACACTCGATACCGGCATAGGGGCCTTGGAGTTCGGTTACCGCGGTGGCCCTTTCGAAATAAACCTACGCGACGTTCTTCGTTGGTGCGATTTGCTGGTGCATCCAGAGACGGAATTCATTTTCCAAGCCGATAGCTGTTCAGCAGCCACCACTCCTTTGGATCTGTTTCGCAAGAATTTCGAAAACTTTCTGTTAACATTGTATGAGCGCATGAAGTTGGTTTACTACCAGCGCATGCGCTGTGACGAGGACAAACGTTTCATACGCAATGCATTCGCCGAAGTATTCGCTTGTGATGCCGATCAACTTAACAGCATATCCGAGGATGTCTCACTCTATTGGACATCTGAGAAAATCTATTTGAATGACATTGTGATAGATCGCAGTGGTGATGGGCAGGCGCTGCGCTCGTTGCGTGGTAAAGATTTATGTCCGATTGTGCTGAACTCTCAGCGCGAGATATTGAAAAATATGGTGGAGTGTGTGCGAATGGGTAAGCCGGTACTGCTATGCGGACCGACCGACACCGGCAAGACGAAGTTAATTGATCTGTTGTGCACGCTCTCGAATCAGGTGTGCAATACGGACACAATAGACGACTCTGTGACGGGCAGTTTCCAACAGGTAACTACCAAAATTGGAGGAATATGGAGGAATGTGATCCAATTAATTTTCCTTTTCATTTTCAGATTGATTTGAACAGACATTTAGAGGAGATATCGCAAAGTGTGGAGGCCGTGCTTGCCTCGCAGCTGCGTACCATGATACTTGAACGTAAATCAAATGCTTACAAAACCGCTGCCGAGTTGCTACATATTTGGAGTGCATATTCGAAGGAATCCAATGCTAAACTTGGTAAGCGTTCAATGCTGTAAATGTCTAAAGGTACTTTTACTGATGCTTTAAACATCCTTTCACAGCCAACAACAATGCCACATCTATGGCGGATGAACTGGCGAGTTTCCGCAAACGCATACAACGCCTAAATAAAGCCATCACTGCTCTGTTGGAACTCTCAAATAATGGCAGCACAGAAAATCGTTCGCCATCTTACAAAGACACTCTATTTCAACAGCAAAATCGGCTTAACACCCTGGAAAATCATGTGCGCAACGCTGACACACTCAACACGGGTGGCTCCTTCGAGTGGGTTGACTCCAAAATCGTTAAATCGCTCAAATTCGGTCAATACATTTTGTTGGAGCATGTAAATTTGTGCTCCTCCGCAGTTTTAGATCGTCTCAATCCGGTATTCGAGCCGAACGGTAACCTCTTAATATCGGAGAAAGGTGTGTCGGCAAATGAAGGCGCTGAAATTGTTGAGAAAGCGCCGAACTTCCGTGCCTTCCTCACAATCGATCCCAAAAACGGTGAATTGTCACGTGCGATGCGCAACCGCTGTGTGGAGCTAGCAATAGCGAAGGACACCTATAGCACGGACGACATGCGCTTGATTGTCTACAAGAACGGAGTACGCGGCATGGTGGCGATTAACTGCATACTCGACATTCACAAACGCTTAATGCAATCGACGCCAATCAACAACTACAACATCACGCATCTCACACAGTTTGCATTCCTCACCGCCTCTTATGCGCGTATTGGCTACGATATGGAGCGTGCCATCTATGTGAGTGGCATGGAAGTGTATGTGTATTCTGCAAATACCGATCTCATGGGCTACGGTCTGGCGTATTATCAGAATCAGTTGCGCGAGATTGTTTTGGACGAAACCAAGAAATTCGGTTTGCTTGCGCCGGCAGCGGTTGTGGACGAAGAGATTTTACGCGACATTGTGCTGCCTGCCGATGAGCTACATGCACTCTCCTTGATCAAACTCCAAACTGAGCCGCTGCGTAGTCTGCTCCGTTACGATGAACGTGCCCAAACGGCACTCGCAGATGTCTTTGCTGAGTTCGCCAAGCTAGACTTGATCACAGTGGATCGCCAGCAAATTATAAGGTTCTGCATCTATATGCTATATGAATGCAGCACTGTAAACGATGTGGAGTTGCGTTATTTGTATTTGGAGAAGGTGCTAAGCGCACACCCAGCTTTGAATAGTTTATCGAAGTCTCTCTATGGCTGCATAAAGCATTTCAGCGCGCACTTCGAGTCCACCCTAAATGAGCTGCCATGGAATAACAAACTATTTTCGCGCATACGTGCCTACGCCAGCCAACCAGCGGACGTGATAAATCACAAGAGTTTCTGCTTGAGCGCACAACTGGTCGCCAATCTGCTGCTGCTGTCTGTGCCGCAGTCCCACACAGTAAACATCGGTGAGGCAGATGCGCTCAGCTATTCACAAATTGTTGCCGTGGACCCAGTGGCCGATCGTTACGAAAATGTGCTGCTACAGAATCTCTCTCATTTCATTACGAGCCTGCGCGAAGTGCTAAGTGCATCGTTAGACTACGCGCACATCGATGTGGAGACGTTCTCCGCACTGGTAACAGCATATTTATGGTATAACCGCTTTCTGAGCATAACTCAGGAAAAATTGGTAGTGAAGAAGGAACTGAACAGGCGTCTTTTGGATAGGTTGGTGTTGCATTTTAAGTGGCTGGAGAAGAATTTGCTCCAATTGCTCACCAAGATGCTGCCAAACTACTGCCAATTAAATGCGGATTACAACAACAGCCTGCAGCAAATAAGTAACTATATAGTCAGCATTAAACAGCCGCTCAATTTGATGCGTAAGATCTACAACAAACACCTCACATATTTCCCGCCGTTCTATCAAGAAGAACAGGTAGAGTATTTGTTTCCCCTTATAAGTGATTGACGTACGTTCCTTATGCATCCTCTACTTTTAGATCCAATTCCACAAGTTGGTTAGAGTTTTGGACCAATTGCTGATTGTGGTGCCCTCCTATGGCAGTTATACAACAGAACTCGTGCTAAAGAAGTTTCTGGCGCAGAACTCCGTCAGTGCCAGACGCTCACGTGCCATTGTAAACAAATGCTTGGAGCACCGCGCCAATGCCAACGTGAAGCAGATTAATTTACAACCATCGCAGGGCGCCCAAATACCCGAGACGCTGAAGTCCGCTTTGCTGGAGTTCATAAAAAACACAAATGAAAGCAGCGACTGGACCTATGAAGGTTTAGATGAACTCCAAGCCGCAATCGATGCGCTTCAAAGTGAGATTCAATCAATGGAAGAGCTGGAGGTGGCGCGTCAACCGAAGGAATTCGAGCTTCGCTTGCTCTCGCTACGTGAGTTTTATCTGACGAAAGCGTTATGTGGTTTCGGCAGTAGCAGCACAGCATCCTACATGCAAGTCAGTGAGTTTTACTGCGAGGAAATACCTTCGCTAAGTAGCACCACATGGCATTTAATAAAGGTATACAACTCGGGCATCTATAAGCATTTCGAGAAAGTGTGGAGGCAGCTACTGTCACATTTGTCGTCTGTAACTAGTGTCGAGGAATTCCAACAGCTTTTGTCATACTTAAATGGCGGTTACAAAATCTTAAATTCCTACCACGCCCACCTGCGTAATGCGGCGAACAACATGCAGCTAATGAACCTAGCCATACGCGAGACCTCGACCAATGTGCTGCGTGCTGCGGAGGATATTGACTGTACCTACTCATATGATGGCTGCAGCTTCCTGAATGTGTTCCTCTCGCTAGTGTTCCAGGAGAACGGTACCCTGCGTCCAGTGCCACTCAACGAAATGAGCGAATGGCAGGCCACATTGAAGCAGTTGCAGCAACTACTCTGGCAAAATACCGATATGCTGACAACACAAAATAATATTTCCCAAAACAATTTGCTCTTGGCCCAGGACAGCGCGCGGAAGCTGCTACACGAGGTGGCATACGTAAAGAAATTGTGTGAGAGCTTGGAAAATGAGAACTTCAGCGAATACAACGAGAGCTTCCAGAAATTGGTGCAGTCGCTTCATGCTGTACACGACGCAAGTTTGACTATCAAACGTGCCGATAACGCTCCACAACAACAAAATATGTTTCTTTATCAGTCCATCCAATATAGCGCGTCAGTGCTGAGCAGTCTCGTGGGTGCGGTCGAACTCTGTTTACTGACATTCACGCCTCTCATCGATCCGGTCGAAAAGAATCGACTGAAGAATATGTATGTGGTGGAGGATATAAATTGTTTAACCACCATGACAACGGTGTATGATTTTATGCGCATTGTCATGAAATATCAGCACTTCGGCGGTGAAATTTACGACGCTTTCGAGGAGCGCCTGAAGTTGCTGCAAGCGAAACAGCAAAAATTCGCGCAAAAGTTAGCTTTGCGTCCGTCGGAGTGCCTCTACAGCAAGCTTGTCGATGACATAGCGCACTATCTCAAAACAAACTGCGCACCGCAAGCACTTCTGGGTCTCATACAGAGCGCCCAGAAATCGTGGACGCAGCTCACAATCGATTTCAATACAAATTCAGCGGCGCAAATACTCGGCAACAGCACGGAAGTACTGAACAGACTCAATTTGTGGATCATCAACTCCCAGCGCTTCCTCAATCATACTTTGAAAGCGTACATGGATCACTATCAGGATTTCATACAGCCGCTGCAGTATTCTATTGACCACTTGCGCTTCGGTTTTGAGGGTCTAAAAGTTGTGCTAACTCAAGCGAGCAGCAACATTTCGCAATTGGAGGGCGCGAGGGTGTATACGAATTTGAACGCCAACGATCGCCTCTCACACGCCTTGGCCAATATTGCCGAGTTCCCGGCTGCGCACCAGCTAATGGAAGGCGAAGCAAAGACGTCAACTCGTGCTTTACTCAAGCAACGATCGTTCATAAATAGCCTGATTAAACAGCTGCCACATAGCGAGCACAGCTACTTCGGCTTACTCAAAGCCAAGCTCGTCGAATTGCATAACACCATTGCGATTTCAGCGCACATCAACGAAGCGATCTTCAGCGAACTGGATTATATTTTTAATGTGTCGAATCAAATATGGCAGGCGGAAGAGGAGCGCAGACGCGCACTAAAGGCAGAGGAGGAGAGCCTCTATGTGAATAAGACGAAATGCATCGAAGAAGACGAGGAACTGCTCGAGCTACAAGAGATCGAATCACATTTCCCCACGAATGTGGAAGAGGACTATGGCGATTTTCTGATCGAAGCCACTTTAGAGAAGGTTGTGAAACTGGACAAGAAATCGAACTTGAAGTCGCAAAAGACGCAAGTGATTCGCGACGGAGACTACTCATTCTTGGCGACACATTTCATTGAACTCATGGAAAACTACACGCGCGTCTACTACCATAAACGCACAGCTGCTGGCGCTGCACAGCAATTGGACTTCGTGGAACCCTTCCAGGCACGCATGCAAGCATTTGTGCCGTTATATGCGCATTACAAGCGCGGCTTAAACGACTGGATGACTGAGGCCGCGTACAACAGCTGTATTTTCGCATTAGCGCTGCAACAACAGCAACTTACCAGTACAGATGCCGCGCCACTGCTGGCCAGAACTACGCGCAGCTACAATTACTATAAGGATGCCAATATACCAGAAATAATAGGCTGTATGGATCTGCTGAAGGACATTGAGGCGCTCGCGGACGCGCAGCTCGCCTTGTATCCAGAGCATGCCAGCTTGATAGACATCAAGCGCGTGATCGAGAGAATACGTACGCTGCCCGCTACGGCGCCAGTTGTGCGTTTTAACACGGGCTTCCAGCTGTTGCGCCAGAAGCTCGCACAGTGGAACGAGGTGGCCCACAAGGGCAATCACATGCGCCAAGAAGAGGTCGCCGTGGCGGAATATGTACAGCGTTGGATGAAGATCGAGCTGCAATGCTGGCGTAATTGTCTCAACGAAACGAAGGAAAAGATCGAGTCGAATGCCCACAAGTACTGGTTCTTCATCTATCAGCTGCTGCAGGAGTATTTGCGCGAACGTGAGCTGAACAGTTCTTATACCGACATTAGAAATGCCGAAAAGCGTTTTGGCGATGGCGAGGTGCTGGACGAGTCCGAGGTGGAGCGAAAGTCCAAAGTCAATGTCAACGATATTGTGCACATACTGCGGCAGTTCGTCGAGGCGGCCAATTATGGTGACTTCCACGTGCGCTTACAACTCTTACAAGCATTCGAACTGTATTTACACAACGTTGAGAATTTGTCAGTCGACAGCAGCGGCACGGTTGCCGAAGATTGTCGGGCACTGATTGCCGGTTTGCACAATCTACAAATCTATTTTGCGCAGTTCGCGCAGGAGATCGAGGAGACTGCGCACAGTATGCGCACGCCTATCGAGAAGAAGCTGAAGGAGCTGGTTAAGATCGAAAGCTATAACAAGGACTTGTCATACTTCAGCATGCGTAACAATGTGGCACGTGTGCATCGCAATCTCAATAAGTTCCTCAAGGAATACCAACAACAATTGCAGCAAAAGATTACACCGGTCTTCCAGCCAAAGGATGCCACAGTAAAGGATTACAACTTCGAAAATGATAAGGGACGAGAACTGCGCTACGATACTCGTATTAAATATTACTTGGTGGAAGTTAAGAATTTCGTAGCAGCACAAAAGCTCGCCGATAAATATGCTGTGAGCGAAGAGAGCGCTGGCAACGACCTAGTGACCGAAGAACATTCCGAGCAACTGCTTTTAAATAAAGTTGGACGTCTCTTCAAGACATCGCGCAATGTCGTCAAGGAAACTGTAAGCAACGCAAACTTCTCTAAACTTATAATTGCATTGGATAGCGTGCTCTGTGTGCAGCTGGAACGATGTGATGAGTTGCGTGCGCTTAGCGTGGACCGCTCGAAAGAGCGTCCAAAACAGCTGCTGGAAGCCAAGCAAATATTGCAACAAAAGCGCAAAGGACTAACCGATCTATTTAAGACGTTGGCGCAACTCGGCCTAAGCTTCAAAGCCGGTCTAATGGAGCTGTCCTTGCGCACAGACTTCACCGAGTTCACACTGCCGCCGTTCTGCATCAAAACCATGCTCGGCGCACGCACCGATAAGCGCTTACACACCAACGTGCTGCACTTGAACGAGAACCTCGATCGTTACTACGCGAAATGTGAGTTCAAGCTGCGGCTACTGCAAAACATTATGCTGGCACCACCGTCCGAGCTAGGCCCACCCAACATTGAGCGCATCAAAGGCTTTGCCGTCGACATGTTTCTGCTAGTGCAAAGCCAGAGGCGTCAACTCGCAAACACCAGCAAGCAAATTTATAACCTGGATGTGCTGATGCAGCACATTCAAGAGATCTACGACGTCTGTTGCATTGGTGATTCGGCGAAGGCCGTGGATGGTCTGGCATTCAGTGCCGCTCGCGATAATTACCTGGCGTTGCGTGAGTCTATATCTCGCATGCGCTACGTGATGGAGCAGTTCCTCCTGCTTTTGGCATGTGCGCCGTCGACCGCCGCCGTTGAGCACTCTGTGCTAACGAAAAGTGAAAATCACTTGTTGCAGAGCTCTCCTTTCTACACAACAATCACGGGCAACTGTCATGAGGTGCTCAAAACTGCAAAGTTCACACTTGCCGATATGCTCAGCCATGACAAGGAGTTCCCGAACATAGAGAAAGTAGCAGCCTACCAGGCTACGCATGAGAAACTGTGCCACATACTACAGCAACTTGTGAACAGTTTGAGAACAGTCTCAGGTGAACCACTGCCTGTTGCAAAACCGATCGTGGAGCTGCTTGCTTTCGTGGATTCTTGCAACAAACGTTGCTATACACCCGCGAACGACAATGCGCTCACAGATTTAGAAAATTTAGACGCTGTACTGGAACATATACTACACGACGTACTGTTGTCCTTGCAAAAACTGTATAAAAAATACGCGCAGGTAACCGGCGAAGAGTCCGGGGAGTTGTCGTCGCCCAACAGAGGCCGCAATGAGCTCGAGTTGCAAGAAAAGCACCTAAAGGAGCAGCTGCATGCGGCGCTCGAGTCTGACTGGCAGGCATTGAATATCACCAATATTGTCGAGCAACTGTCAAATGTGTTGATCACGTTGAAACACGCCACTCCGAGTCAGCCGAAATTGGCTTGTGCTCGCAAACTCACCACACTTATGCCAATACTGGAGCAATACTATTTGTTGGCCGACTACTATCTTTTCCAGCAGCTGGGTGCGCACAAGGTTTCGGCGAAGATGCTTTCGGTCATGCTGACGGTGTTTGTGGAGATTGGCAGTAAAGGATTCTGTGTGCCACCCGATCTAATGCAAGATGAGGAGGGTCAAGCTAAGGACCAAAAAGATGGGGAAGGCTTTGGTTTGGAAGACGGTACTGGAGAAAAAGACGCTTCAGACAAAATTGAATCGGAAGATCAGCTGGACGATGCAAAACGCCCAGAAGACCGCAAGGAAGAAGAAGGCAAACAGCCAGAGGACTGCAAACAAGACAAGAGCATCGATGTTAGTGAAGATTTTGATGCCAATGCGCAAGATTTGGAGAAGCCAGAAGACGACGATAGTGGTGAGTCGGAGGCTGATGATGAGTTGGACAAAGAAATGGGTGAGACTGGTGCGGAGGCTGATAAGTTGGACGAACAAATTTGGGGCGATGACGAAGAGCAGAAAGAAGAGGAGGATGAAGAGAACGAACTAGAAGAAGATCAGGGAAAAGGTACAAAAGATGAAAAGGACACTCACAACGATCTGGATACGAAGAACGATGCTGCCAATGAAAACGATCAAGAAAATGAGGGATTAGATGCAGCTAATGAGACAACAAATGAGAAACGCAAACAACAAGAAAAAGATATTGACAATATGAAGGAGCCTGAGGTGGATGAAGATCAAGCCAATCCGTACCATAATGAATTAGAAGAACCACCAGAGCCAGAAGAAATGGATTTAGGTGATATGAACATGGATAATGATAAGGAGGAGGGTGATGACCAGCGAGAGCTTGAAGAAAACCCCTTCGATATTGATACAATGAAAGAAAATATGGAGATAACAGAAGAACAGACCAAAGAAGATGATACTAAAGAAGAAAACGGAGATGACAATGAAAACAAAGCAGACGATAGTGATACAGAAGATGACGATGGCAACATCGAACTACGCAAGGAAGAAAAAGGTGAAGAAGAAAAACAAGAAGAAGACGCGAACGAGGAAGAGAACACTGAGCCAGAGACACAGACACGTGGCGAAAAGGAGCCCGAGCAACAAGAAGATGAAAAACAAGAAGAAAATGAGAAAGAACGCGCCGAGAAGCCGGAAGAATATGAACAGTCCAAAGACAAAATGAGTAAAGAGGACAATGTGCAATCAGTGCCAGAAACCGAAAATGACGGCACTCCGGATCAGGTGCAAAACGAAAATGACCAAGATGTGAAACAGGATCAAAAATTGGACGAACAAGATACCGGTGAAGAGAAAGACGGTGTAGGACAGGCAGAAAATGATGTAAGTATAAGGGAAATTATAGGAAGGAGAGTTCTTATGCATATTCTTACACTTTTTTACAGACTAATGAAGGCGGCCACCAGGGCATTGCTGAGACTAAAGAAAAAGTAGCACAGGACGAAAGCGCGAAGGAGCAGAAACCGCAAGAGAAACGTAAACAAGGCAAGACAGACGAAGAACGTACATTAGGTAATAAAGGAAATGATGTTTGTGAGGAAGTTTGGATTATTGAAAACTTCAATTTTTAGGTGAAGCGGAGAAAAATAAGCTGAAACAGTTGAAGACAATAGATAAAATTAAAGAGCAACAACATCAGCCGAAAGAGGACGATCTGGAAGAGGACAAAGAAGCAGATGCCGAAGAATTCCAGCACGTAAAAGATCCCAAGAACAGCGATAAGACAACACTGGACAATGCCACAGAAGAGCAATCCAAGAAGATTAAGCATCAAGAAGACGAAGAGAAAGAGGAAGCTGCAAACGAAGATGCGGAGAATAATGAGATCCTAGATGAGGAAGAAGAGACTGATAAGCAGGACGATAACGAGCAAAATCTCGAGGAGATGAGTGCGGAGAAGTTTGATCAGAAATCGGACAAACCATCTAAGACCGAACGCAATAAAGAAGCCATGGAGGATAAATTAGAAATGGAAGTCGAAGGCGAAGACGTGCCCACCATGACGGTGCCACGAAATGACGATACAACGGCGCACTGCAAGTGCGTTTCTAAAAAACTTATCTTCTCCTATAAAATTAATATTTATTTAAATCTTTGACTTTCAGTAAGGAAATACTACTGGAGCACCTAACACGCAGCGAGGAGTTGAGCACAGCTGAGTTGCTGGAAATGCGCAGGACGTACCAAGAGCAGCTGACCGCTAATAAAACAGTAAGTTTGTCTTTGCAAAAACAAAAAACAGAAGTACTGAATTTACAATGGAAACCCCTTAGTCGCTACCAGTACATGAGGATTACGAGACTTGGCAAACAGTATCGAATCGTATGGCACAGAACGCGCGCGAATTGTGTGAGCAGCTGAGACTCATTTTAGAGCCCACTAAATGCACGCGTCTAAAGGGCGACTACCGCACGGGGCGACGCATCAACATGAAGAAAATCATTCCCTACATTGCGTCACAGTTCCGCAAGGACAAAATATGGTTGCGACGCACGAAAGCCGCACAACGTGACTATAAAATTACCATCGCCATCGATGACTCCAAGTCCATGCACCATAATAATTCCAAAACGCTCACACTCGAAGCAATCTCACTGGTTTCGCAAGCACTAACATTACTAGAGAGCGGTCGTTTGAGCATTGTGTCCTTCGGCGAATCACCACAAATCATACTCAACCATACAGAGCAATTCGATGGTCCAAAGCTGGTGAATGCGCTAAATTTTGCACAGGATAAGACGAAAATTGCCGAATTGCTCGATTTCGTGCGTATCGCAAACACAGAGGAGGCTGCACTGGGCACCGACAATGGACTCTTCGAAAACCTGTTGCTTGTGCTGAGTGATGGACGTAATATTTTCAGTGAAGGACGCGTCAAGGTACGTCTTACCACTCGACAAAATCGCAAAGTTATAAAAAATAAAATTGTGTTGTTGTTTTTTAGGTGCGCAATGCGATAAAGTTGGCGCGTCTTCAGCGAATTTTCTTGGTTTATATAATAATTGATAATCCGGAAAATAAGGTATTTTTCTTTTTTGTCTATAACTTGCATTGAACATTTAACTATTTTGCACTTTTTTCCAGGACTCCATACTTGACATACAAACTATGGAAATGCTTCCTGACAAACGCATCAACATCAAATCTTACTTGGAGGACTTCCCATTCCCGTATTATGTGATCGTGCGCGACTTAAATCAATTGCCACTCGTGCTGAGCGAGGCTATGCGTCAATGGTTCGAATTGGTGAACAGCGAAATGTGAGTCTGTCAGCTCAGAATTCGGCAATTACATTTGTTTAACGGTGTTTACGCATTTCATTTCGTTTTTGAGAATATGTTTAGTGAATTATATAACTATTAAGTTTATGCGCAAAAACAAAAAAAAAAAAAATAAAAAAAAATGTGATGAATTAATGTTATGTTTTTCAGATTGTATCAAATAGAAGTATATATTTATGTTTTCATTTAAAACTTTGACGTTAATATGCTTTGCATTTGACATGCAAGTACTTATGTTGTACAATTTAAGAAGTGTTTTTGTTTTGCTTGCCCGAGAGCAATTAATTAGGAATCATAATATACATTTTATTATTATGTTAAAATATAATAATTTCTTGCACAAATATATGGAGTTTATATGAAGTTAATTTCTAAATCGAATAGACTCTCAGTCTGGTTTAAACTCTGTCTAAACAGCTGAGCGTGCTGCCAAGCAACATCGCCCTTACCGCCCGATAATACAGCCTTAATTTCGAATACCGAAGCACCAATAATGTTCGCACTACCGTTGTCAGAAATCACGTGCACCTCGATTTGCCCTTCGCCAAAGGTTTTGCGCTCGAAACGCAAGTTATATGACGCGATCTTCAAACCAGCACTACTGAAGTCGAATTTCCAAACGATTTCACCTTCCTCGGCACCTTCTGCAATACGAAGAATTACGATTACATGTTTGAAACGCAATTCGCGCAAAATAAACACCTACCTTCCCGTGCCAAATATGACATTTTCCAATCCCGCTCCACTTTGCGAAAAATGTTTTTGGATGAAAATTGTGCACTTTGCCATGTCTTGTACGTCTGAAGCACCCTTACATCAGCAGTGCCAACTAAGCATCATTATCATTACAAGCGAACATAATAGGTAACTGTAAGCAGTATATTTACCTTTAAGGTAGCGCTCGTAGATGTCTTTGGCGCAGCTGTAACGTAAGTTAAACTGCTTGGCAGCTACTTCAGCGTCGGTGGGAGTGAAAACTAATATCTGAAAAACACAAAAGCAAATAGATGGGCTTATAGATATCTACACGTATTATTTATAATTCTCGCTCACATTATTGTATGTGTGTTCGCCACGAGACTGACGCCAGGCCAAGCTGCCAGAGCTGCGACCCTTCAGCTCGCTCTCCGTAGGTTGACTAAAACAAAAACATGCGGTATTAGGACACTATAGTTTGGATAAATATTTGTTTTTACCGTTGCACTGTCAGTTCGAACAGCTCTAGCATTGCACGTTGGCTCAGGGCTTTAACGCGTTCCGCGCTAAGTCCTGCTTGGCGTTTCTTTCGTATAGCTATAATTGTGGCAATCAATTCATTTTCTCCACAAAGATGTCGTGTTTTTAGCGTCTGCTTATGATTATTCACATAACGCCATGTCACATCCTGCATATCGTCGCAAGAGAAAGCCAGCACATAGTCAATGGGTCGCTTCCAGCCGTGTTGATACATCAGCGGCGAGTCCACTACATTGTCGGAGGGGTCTACATGCAACCAGCGTGCTTGGCTTTCTGAATATACCTAAAAATATATGAATTTAGGCAAAGACGAGACTTTATTCATAGCAAGGTACATATTTCTTTACTACCTCCGTCCACACATGATCAAAGCGCGAATATACGATGCGTGCATCGTATTCCAAACAGCGACAGAGAAACGTAAAGCAATTTGCGTATTCACCACAGCGGCCTTTACGTGACACTAGCAGCTGTGCTACATCATTGTAGCGGTAAAATTTGGTTTCTTGTCCACAACAAAAGCTCACTTCGACGCGGATGTCGCCTTCGTTTTGTGTGCGTTGCAGCTTACTTTCTTCACTACCACACACACGACAAGGCAACTGATTAACCCATTCAAAGAACTCAGTGTTGAACCAATTGCACAGTTCTACTACCAGCAGATCCCGTATGCATGGTTCTTTTTCTTTACATTCACCGGCGACGATTTGTTCCTGAAAAGCAATTAATTTCTCACTTGCTTTCTGTGTTAACTCATCGATAGGTATAAGCGCACGCCCAGCTGCTAACAACTTTTCATCTTCATACTGCATAACTGCATCCGATTGAAGTTCCATGGACTGTAGGAAAGCATTATTTGTTTGCTAGCACAAAAAAAAAAATAAATAAATATTGCAAGTAAATGAACTTCAAAACGAATCGAAAATTGGTTGAGATAAGGTACTTACCAACACACGTGGAAATGTAATGCGCTGCTGATAAGGAGTTGACGTGACAATTGGCCGCAATGGTTCGCTTTGCCTCTGTTCATTTATTAATGAGGCCATTTCGTTGCCGTTCACTTTTGGGGTTTCCCGCCCCGTTGCAGCTAAAAATAGAAAAATGTATATTAATACTAAAATATGCATGATTATATAATCTGCATTACTTGTGCTTGTGTGCGCTGTGCCCTTAAGCCAAGATTCACGCCTTTCTTGCAAAACGTCCCGATACTGTTGAATGCGTTTTAGAGGTACGTCCTCTGGCAGCGTATATTCTGTAACGTTGCGTTGGAAGCCAATTGCATTAAGCAACTGCGCAATGCCTGCCACCGAGAGTAGTTTCTCTTTAATTGTTTTATTCTCGAGACGTATGGTGCGATATTTGGGATTTGTTGGCTCTTTAAGAACATTTTCAATTAAAACGAGTAGAATGCGCGTCGCTTCGAGATAGGCATCTGCGGAATTTTCAAATGATTGCGACCGTTGGGTTTGTGTAGTTGAGCTATTGCCATTGGTGGATGAGGTAATTGCAGTTGACGATGTGTTGGAGGTAGATGCTGTGACAGCGACGGGTGTGTTGTTTGCTGCATTGGGTTCTATTGAGCGTATACACTCAAAATTCACTTCGGACATTTCTTTGTGTTTATTCGTGGAGGCCGCCACGTTTGGTATGAAGAAGCGTGAAGGCAGACAGCAACCAAAGAAGAGTGAGTCAGTTAATAGAAGCTTCCAATTGCGTTGTTTTTCTGTTTTTACACTGTCAACTATACTCTATGATTGGGTAGGAAACTATTTAAATAATTATAATATATTTTTAAGCGTCGCAATTAGTAAAAACGCAATTGTTAAGCCTTTAATTATACATTCACGAGCAGACGTAGTAATACAACAATAAATTAATAACGCTTTGTATTTGTGAACTGCGACCTGACAGCAAAGCAAACGCCGATAATGGTCAGCTGTTTTTTGTTTTGAACGCTGTTTATTGATTAATTGGGTAAGAAGATGCTGTCGTATGGTGTAAATGTCTTCTCGGTTAGAAATTTAGGTTACCGCATTCACACAGAACTTTTTTGTTCGCCTTGCGTCAGAAATTTCTTTTGAGAGAAGAATTTGAAGCATGCAAAGCGCAGCAAGGCGAAGCGAAATGTTGAGAAAAACTCATCTTTTACCCCATTTTTATACTCCTGCAACATGTTGTTACAGAGCACCTAAAACTAATTGAAAGGTTATATACATATGTAATTGCTTGGATAACGTTCCTCTTCTTGACGTTCTGCACCTTAAGGCATTTTCTTCTCAGGAATTATACATATTTTTGAGATATTAAAAGTGAATATAACTCTTAAATATTTTAATAAACTACGACGCTGAGTAAAGTAAATGAAATTTATTGAGCTTTTCAGCTCAATATTATTGAAAGCTAAATTAACATCTCGTGTATTCTTTGCGTGTGGCAGCGACAGAAACAAAAGACCAGAAGGCCACAAATGGCGAAATGCCAGAGAAAAGTGACAGTACAAGCGTTTGTTATGATTATTATTTTTTTGCTCTTTGCTAACAAAGTGTTGTAATGTCGTAGTAAAATAATTATTTGATATACGGGTTTATTAAATATTTCAAAGTTAACATAACCTGCTATAATTTATTGAAAACTGCTCTATATACTTAAACAATTTCTCATTGTTATTAAGCAACGTGATTGCTTATAAAATTTGTATTTTCAAGGACGAATTCAGGACAAATTAAGAGAATAAAATTGGTAGAAGGCGGGCAATCTTTTTTAACTACAAGCCGCGTTACTTCGATTATTTTTAAAAATCTTTAATAAAACATTTAATAGAAAGGTAACTCGACGCTCGTGTATCAAGTTATTCTATATCAAAAGGAACGCTCATGAAAAATGCGTGGAATTGAAGGCAAAGTGGTGGTGCTGGGTTCACGAGGTAACATATAATATTATTCATTTTGTAACCATATATTTGTCATAAAATCTATCTGATCCACCTTTTTCTTTAACCATTATATTAGTGCCTAGAAAGGGTGCAGGAATTCGATAAACACACCTCGAGAGTAAAGCGTTATTGCGTATGTATTGATATGCGCTGTAACCACCTGAAGAGGCTACATTTGTCGATCCACATTCTTCATGATTAAGCGCTGTGCCTATTTCATATAACTACATACATACATACATAAAAGAAACCATAGTGTTGCTCTAGCTTTGTCTATTTTATTTCTATTTTTAAATGTAAGCAGATAAAAAAAGTCCGCTTATATTAATATAGGAAAACTACAATAGGCAATACTCATTCGCACTGTACTTTGATGCTTCATCAACTTATCAGTCGTTCTACTTTAGTTACTTATGTAGCGGTCTTTATTTATTTTTGCATGCATTTGGTATAGAAAAAATCGCACGTAAGCGTCCAATCCCCTTAAGTTGATATGAAATAGTTTCTAGTATTTGCTGATAACAACTTTAGAAAGGTTTAAGCTTCAAAAACACGACACAATCGGGAGAAGCTTTGGCATTCGCTGAATGCAGTAATTCTTAAGTAATGAATCATAAAAATCACCATTGAAAATATATGTACATAAGTATATATATATATATATATATTAACAATTGTATATGAATATCGCAGAAAATTCCGTTTTATTTCTCGGGGGTTTTTATAAAATTTTCAGTTGTTATTTATATATATTCAACGTTTCTGATATATTTTTGGGATCAGATCGTAGTCGTATTGTTGCAGGAATAATCTTGTCTGCTTGTAAATTGTTCTCATGAGATAGAAAGAAAACATTAAACTTTTAAAACTTACTATAATATTTAAAATTTTCTCTTGTATTTGCAAGGAGTTGGAAAGACACACCTGATCACAAAATATATAAAAAACACATTGCATAGAGACATTGGTCCCACGATAGCGGCGTCCTTCTTTACTTGCAAGGTGCTCTTGGACGACGTAAAAATCAAATTACAAGTAAGTAGAAACCAATTATATAATCGTTATATATATGTTTTGCTTATTAGCATGGGGTTTGAACTTATTATGCTGCACATTATCGTTAGTAATCATCTGTGTACTTGCTCAAACAAAGCAGATTATAGTTCGTTTGATAAGTCGGAAAATTCATGGGCATATATGTACTTCAATTTTCGTAATGGCTGTCATAAAGTAAAACTGTGTTGTTACAGCCATATAATTTGTATTTTATTCTTACAAAAGTATGTATGTACGTACATACATGAAAATATGAGTAGCACACTCTATGATGAAGCTCGTGCTTGAACTTTACTTTCGCTTGTGAATAAAATCATTTTGCAATAAAATCGTCTACATGTCCATATATGTACATATACTTTAGATATATACATATTTATCAATTGCTGTGATGACTTCAGACATACGTGTGTAGTGTAAGAATATGTTTTCTAGCATTCGATCAACATTAGTTACAGAATTATATGAGTTTTATACTAAATACATTTTTCATTTCTAGATCTGGGACACAGCTGGGCAGGAGCGCTTCAAAGCCGTCGCACCAATGTATTATCGCAACGCTAATGCAGCTATTTTGGTTTTCGATTTGACACAACATAAAACATTTGTCGATATCAAGGCGTGGATACAAGAGCTGCACCGCCACGTACTGGAACCGATGATACTCACACTGGTCGGCAACAAGCTCGATCTGCTAGCACAGCGCACTGTTACACACGATGAAGCCTACTTGTTCGCCTCGTCCATCGGCGCTACCTACTTCGAGGCATCAGCCGAAACGGATCAGGGGCTCGAACAAATATTCCTCTCCACCGCATTGGGTCTGGTGCGTTTGGCGGATGAGGGTAAGAGTTGTTCACTGCGCCAGTTCAATTCGTGTGACTCCATATCAGCCTATACGAACAACAACACCGCCTTAAGCCACACATGTGCAGCGCTGTCGGCAAAAAACGGCAATGCGGCTTTTCGTTTGCCATACGTAGACATCGGCATACCCGTGGATGGTGATGATGAGCGCAAAGTGACGGGCGTGGGCAGACTTGAGACGCCTTCTTGGAGCATTTCACACATAGCGTTCGGAGAAGAGGAGTCTACCAGCTGCTGTTGGTAATCCAGATATTCACAAAACATTATATCGGCGTGTAGCTTTAAAAGGGGCTAATTTTAACAACGGATAGGCGATTTACTCATATATATTCTATATGTGCTGAGTACGAATAGTATTTTTAAGGAAGCAAAATGTAAAAATGTTTCAAAATGTAAAACTAAAAGCAATTATAATGATAATTAGACTAATTCTATAATATACCTGTAAATAATAAGTTCCACAAGCCGTTGGTGGGTGGTAGTTCGTCGCGTGAAGACGCGAAAGCGCTCGTGACTAAGCTTAGTTGATAAGTTGCGCTACTGCCTACTTTTGTACTGATATTAAATATAAGCGCATTCGTACGAACCCATTTTGCATGAGGAAGTTTTCTATTCGAAATCAATTATTTTCAAAACGTAATTTATTTTTGTTGAGAATAAACAGTTATTTGAGGAATTGCAGTTGTAGCAGTAATTTATTGCTTACTGAAGGCATTAAGACGCTTTTTTTTATTAGCTTTACTGAAATGTTTTACAAAACAATAACATAATCAAACCAACACATGTACAAACGACGACAACAGAGCATATGTATGTATATCTTTAAGAGCACTAACCATCGTCGCAAACAAAAGAGACGTAGGACAAAGACGTATTCCCATATTTGTAAAAAATCATTTATTAATATAAATATATTACACCTAGTACATATACACCGGTACTTATATGCAAGGAGAGAATATTAAAGCCAAATATATAAAATCACATTTCTTGTTTTTAGGGGTTAAATAAAGTGGAGTAAGTTGCCACTTGAGGGCAAGAATAATTATTTTTATTTTTTATATTAAGATTTGAAATTTTTTTAACTAATTTGCGCAGTAAGAACAAAATATAAAATTACATTAATTGTTTTACACGCTTTATGAAGTAGCAGTTTCATATGTTGGCTGTAACTTTATTGAACAAAGTGAAATGTATTTTCTGATATGATTTCTTGTTTACTGACACCGAGATTTGTTGTCAAACGAAATGAATTTACCACTGTTCACATATGTATTTATTATATTTGTACATACATGTGCAAACATTTCAAAATAAAGAGAAAATAATTTGAAATCTAAGACTAAAATTGTCGATTTGGCGCATAATCCTAAGGTTGCGGGGTTGTTGTTTGGGCAAGCCCTGAAGAACCGAAAACTATCTGAAACAGAAAATAATCTCCGGCATTTATTTCGCCTTCATTAATTCAATAGACAGAATGGATATAATGTAGTAAATATGCTAACCAACTGTTTATTGGTAGTTCAACAAGTTCCCAGGGTGCAGTTACATATATTTTTCTAAACTTTTACTCTATAATGTAGTTTTCTCTGACACGCATTTAATTTAGAGGATGATACATTTTATTAGCCTTACTAATATTGGGTAAAAAAATTCTTTTCGCCTCTAATCAAAATTCAACTTACTTTTTTATATTTATAAAGAACTTTAATGGAGCAAATATGTACCATTTTGGTCTACCACTTTTGTCATATTTCCGCAAGAGACGTTTTTCCAACAGTGAAGAACATTACGGGAGTTCTGTATTGACCGAAACAAATGGTAGTCCGATGGTTCGATTTCATTTCGTTTCGTACATGTTAATTCGGTCCATTAAAATTTTTCACAGACCAATCATGTGGTACCAAAACATCGAGCTTCGTTTGTGAAGCCAGACTTTTTTAAATGGCTCATGATGTTTGATGATGAATGTTAAGTTCCTTAGCGATGTTATGGCTGCTTATGTGACAATAATGCTCAATCTTTTCCATAATTTTATCAACTTTTTCAACGATAGGTCGAAGAGGGGGAGGTGCATCTATCACATCGAAATTTCCAGAACGGAAGCGAGCGCACCATTGTTGTGCTACAAGAACTGATACAGTATAGTCCGTAAGCTTCACAAATTTCACTGATGGCTTACGTGGCGTTCTTCCCTTTTTTATACAAAAATTTCAAAATATAGCGAATTTCTTCATTACTTTCACTCATTTTGGTACAGCTGTAACTTTTTTTCAACTTCGCCGAATTTAATTTTTATTAATTTTTTTTTTTGATTAAATGAAGCTTTCCAACACTATATGGCACGACACAATGTGATTGGTAGTACTGGAGATATACGACTGCAACGACATCTATTGACAAAATGCGAAAATACTTTTTCGACAACGCAATATATTGATAAATGAATAAAGTTCTAAATTTACGCGTCAGCGGAATTGTGGTAATTAACGGTACGGTTTAGTATCGAAAGGGCTCTTGAATATGAGGAGTCCACTCTTGGAGCATTACCCTACATTTTTGTAGCGTTCAACAATCTATTGTGAGTAGTAGTGATCCTACTATACAACGCTGGGTCAGCATCCCCTTGACCCCCAGAAGACTAAGAATGGAACGACACTAGAATGACCAGTCAAGTCTGTAGAGGTACTCCGTAAGGTGAAGTGCTATCTCTGCTTCTATTGACATTAGTTGTGAATAAACTGCTAAAGAACTTAGACGGAAAAGCTCCTAAGCTGGTGGCATATGCGGACGACATTGGCATCTTAAAAACGAGTAGATGTCTACAGAACTCAATACAGTCGAGAATTAAGCATCGCAAACGATTCTTGGGTTGAACCCGGAGAAAGTGGATCTGTTTCTATTCGTAAGAAACATAAAATTCCTCTATGTGTGAAGGTTCCTTTAGATAAATGGGACACAACTCTCTCTCAACAAGTTCCTTGGACAGCAAACTGCCGTGGATGGAGAAGTGGGAAAGGATATTAATGCTTGATATGAGTGTAGGCAGATGCTCGGCACAACCTCTCATGCACTAGCGCTACACAGCTGTCGTAAAACCAATTATGCTCTACGCCGTATACAGTAGTATGGTGGACAGACGTACGGAAAGTCACCTACCGGAAGCTAATCGAAAGGGTTCAGTGGCTCACTGCGCTGTGCATAACGGGAGCTTTAACAACAACTCCAACAGCGGCTCTCGAACTAGTGCTAAAGCTGCCACCTATAGACCCCTTCACTGAAAACTGCGTAGCAAAATAGGAGGCACGATTACTGGCTGCAAGAAAATTTTCATATAGAAACTTCAGACATAGCTCGGTGAGTAATGGCGGTTTGGAAAGCACAGAACACATGATCCCACTTTTCAATGGGTTTATTGTACAGTTTGCTATTGCAAAAGCCGCGGTAGAAAGTTCTGTCAAAAGCAAGTAACTTCCAGAGCAAAGCGCCGGGTGAACAATAAATCATATCTTATGCACTTGTCCCACATTGGCACTGGGTACACTAAAAGAGGTATCGATAGTGAGGCCACAGAGTCTGTTGAAATTCTCGTCAAGTATACGCATTCTAAACGATGACTAGTTCTAATGGATCTAGTAGCAGAACTTCCTTCACAAAGGATCAAAACTGGTCTATGCATGGTTCATTGGCTTACCAGACTAACCTAATCTAACGGTACCTTTACCTGAGAAACATCAATTCTCTTGTATTACTTACCGATTGAAATAGGATTTGAACATCAAAATTAGTGAACGCCTATCTTCCCGAACTTTTTCATTTCTTCATTGCACGGAATCTAAAATCCTCCCCAGCTAAGTTCATAGCCTCTATATTTACCAATTGTATGAATAAAGACAGGCTTTTTCGTCGATGAAGCTAAAATTTCGTAGGTCACAGCTCGAAGATTTTGGGTGTTTTGTTTGACAGTCACCTATCTACTGCTTCATTCCGGATACGACTGAAATCATTACCAAAGTTCAAAGGTCGGCCCTGGATTACACAGCCCAATATGATGGTTAAGATGTAGCGAGACGCAGCTGATTATAATAGACATGTAAGAACATTGCGCTTTGGACTTTCATAGTATGTCTATTGATGTCCTCTATCGAACATAGTGAAGTCTGCAAGCCTTAAGGAACATAATGCACCTCCTCCCTCCAAGCAGTTTCTGCTGTGTGGTTTTCGCAGAAATTATATTTATAGTCATATGCTTGGAGCAGAGAATATCAAGAGAATGTTTCTAAAATACGTCAACGAAGTCCAACAATATCCCGACGCAATTTCGGAATTTCGCTCCCAGTGAATGGCGTCCTTGGAGACCATAGCAGACCGTGAGCTGTGGAAACAGTCCGTTTTCTGGATCTATATATCACTAAAAGACTTCGAAAACTGATGATATTCCATTTCCCCCATTTTTTTTCTCAATACAACAACAATAACATCATAAATTTCCTTACCGGAAAACGTAATATAGCCTTTTCTACTCCAAAATCACGGAACTCTAGAGCAACTAAAAAGGATCGAGTGCCAAAATTTATTGAAGCATGAAGMTTATTACTATTACTTTTAGACAGTAACTTCCAGAGCAAGTTCGTATGCGAACTATTTTAAAGAACACAAAAACGAATATTCCATAAAAACTGAACACATGTGCCCATTCCGAGCCAAAAAAAAAAAAAAAAAAAAAAAAAAAAAAAAAAAAAAAAAAAAAAAAAAAAAAAAAAAA